TCTGCAAGTTAGATATCATTATGGCCATTTTACAGATGGGAAAACGGAAGCTCAGAGAGATTAAGAAGCACCCCCAAGTTCACCCAGCTAAGAAGTAGTGGAGAAGGCATCCTGACTCAGTTCTGTGTGCCCATCCTGATGCCCAGGGGAGACTTGCCAGGGTTGAGAGTGGTGACCGGTAGGTACGAGTCCTGGACTCAGATTCAATTGTGCCTGCTCGCCCTTGGCATCTCATTCTCTCCTGGACAGAAAGGATGGAGTGAGCTGTGTAAGCACAGGCGGGGGGGGGGGGGGGGGGGGGAAAGGGGGAGAGAGGGGGGCTCCGAATTTCCACAAAACGCCCTGTTTACTTATCGTTGCACAGCTGGGCTGGATTAGTTCAGCTTCATAAATAGCTTTCGAAAACCCGCGGCTGGAAAAGTCCGATTTGCCCTGGAGAATGCACAGAGGCCCCACCCACATGCACCAGCGCCCCTGCCATGTGCCCGAGCCTCACCTCTCCAGTTTGTAGCCCATCTCTGCGACCTTCTTTGGGCCTCAATAAAAAAACAAACAAAAAACTCTTAGCATTATCCCCACCCCCTCCCCACCTTTGTCCAGCTCTAGAAAGGCCAGATTGGAAGAAGCAGCCGAGAAGAGGAAACGTCTTTTAGGCGGAGCTGCCTGGACTTCCTTTAGCTTCCCGCCTCATTTCCACGAGCCCTGGATCTTGAGGACACGAGGGGCTGGATTTGGGGCCATGGGTGAAGCCCAGGCGCCTTCATTCCTGAGGGGCAGCCAAGAGGGGCCCCGGGGTGGCCTCAGAGGGCAGCCAGAATGTGTTTTCTCAGTCACACTTCGGTTAACATTCCAGAGGGTCACCGACCGGAGGGACTCACAGATCACAAAGGCTCTGCCCCGGGTGCAAGGGGGCTGCGGACCTCCAGAGCCCGCACGCCAAAACGTCCCTTCGCACAAGCGAGGGGAGAGGTTGCGCGACTTTCTTTTGTTTCTAAGAGGGGGCTGAGATGCCCCCCACCTGAAAGTTAAGCACCTTGGACACTTGTAATGGATCTTGCATTTTTGTAGAAGGGGAAACGGAGGCCCAGAGAGGAAAGTCTCATGATCAAGGTCACCCCGGTGACCAAGTTCAGATGAGAGCCCCCAGAAGCATTGCTTAGGAGCACGTGTGTGTGCGTGGGGGAGGGGGAGGTGGGAGGAACCTGCTCTTCCTGAACACATTTCCTCAAAGTGGGTCCTTTTCAACAGGGTGTAGCCACAAAAGGTTGACCAGATAGCTGTCCTGATGAAGCTCAGAGGCGCTAGCAGAAGTGTGAAGGCAAGATTGTAAGCCATGGAGAAGGCAGGTAGTCAAAGGTTGATAACCATTTGCCGGGTGCCTTCTTGCCATCCCACCTGCCCTGACATCTCCCCTGGGCCCACTCCCCACAATTCCTGCCCTCCAGCACCTCCAGGGACCTGTCAAAGGGTAGATCCTTTCGATCATACAGCACAGATCCGTACCAACCAATGGCAGCCCCCAACATGCCCACCTAGGCCCAGCTGGCATACCTGGATGTGCCCCTGGACCCCTGGAAGCCAGGAGTGCTACATCCCAATTCATTGCTTTTTCCTCCTTGCCACTCATTCAGCCCATATGTATGGAGTTCTCAGCTCCATACCAGAGGCCAGGGTACAGCAATGAACAAGGTTTCTGCCTTTGTGGAGCTCACTCAAATTGAGAAAACTGGGGTGAAAACTGCGAGAAAACTGGTTCCCTCTATAATAATAAGAGGGAACGCGGGTCCAGGGTGGGGTGGCCGCACTCTGTTGGTGCCCTCTCCTTCCCCAAGAGCGGGTTCAGATGGGAGGAGATGACAGTAATGCTCACTGGTGTCAGATACGACACCCTCCATCTCACAGGGCCCCGAGGTTTTCCAACCCAAGGACACTGCGGAGTCCCCGGCTCATAACAAATGATGCTCGTGAGCACGCGGCCCTTCCTTCTATGAGGCAATCCTCCGAGGCCTTTGCCAAGACAAAGTGTTTGGCCTTCTGCCTTGAAAGTTGATCTCTTCCGAGTCTGATGATTGCTTTTCTGAAACACAGGGACAATGACATCACTGCTCCTTCCCTGGCTTGGGGAGTGGATGGTCAGCATGAAGTCAGGGTTTGGCACCGTGCCTGCTCTTTGCCAATGCCCAGGGAGGTCCGGGGTGGGGGCCTGGAATGAAGCAAGCTTGTGAGGGAGGGGGGTCTCCAGAGGCTGGGGGCGGGGGTCACTTTCCAATCTGTTGCCAGCGTCTGGGTCTGCCCTGCTGTACACATGGAGGCAGCATTCCGATGGGGGCTGAGCTGATATTCAGTAACTACGCACCTGCCTGGCCATGCCACTTGTTAAAATATTTTTTTAAAATATGTTTTTATCGATTTTCTTTAGAGAAAGAGGAAGGGAGAGGGATAGAGGGATAGAAACATGGATGAGAGAGAAACATCATCGATTGGCTGCCTCCTGCATGCACCCTACTGGGGATCAAGCCTGCAATCTGGGCATGTGCCCTGACCAGGAACTGAACCAGCGACCTCTTGGTTCATGGGTTGATGCTCAACCACTGCGCCACACCAGCCAGGCCTGTTGTTAAAATATTGACATGCTTGCATTCCCATTGGATACCATTTGCTGGGGTACCTTCCTACCACCCCACCTGCCCTGCCATCTCCCCTGGGCCCACCATTCCTGCCCTCCAGCCCCTCTAGGGAGTGTCCGGCAGTCCTCCGATGGTCAACGCCTGTGTGATGCCACAGAGAAAGTGTGGCTCCTCCTCCTCACAAAGGGATGGGAATACTTTGGCTGGTCTCTGTGTGGCATGGCACCCGCAGGAAGGCACTCCCAGGTGAGGAAGGGCCAGGCCTGCCTCTTAGGCTCCTGGGCCTGGGCCCTGCCTGTACGACCCAGGGTCAACATCTCCTCTGCCGCAGGCGGGAAGGCACCTGGGGGTGTTCCAGTCCAGCCACTCTCTGTACCGAGGAGACCTGGCAGCTCACAAAGGGGGAGTCATTTGTTCCAGCCAGCGAGTGACCATGTGAGCCCTCTGACTGCCTTTAGGCCGTGATTCTCAAGGAAATCTCTCCCGTCCCCAGGGGGGCCTGACTTTGGGGTGCAAGGTCATGATGCGGACGCGACTTTTTCTTCCAGCTAGAGCACAGCTTTCCCAAGAACAAAAAGCAAGTCAGTGCCACGCAATGGGAAGTCTGGGCCAGGGCAGCCAGCCTGAGCGCTCGAGGGGCCAGTGCCTGGCGGATGCCAGGGGAGAGGAGGTGGTATCGCCGCCATGATACCCAAGGCGAGCCAAGGCCCTGGCTTCAAAGACCAGGAAGACATTCCAGACATTCTCCCACGGGCTCCCTTTGCACCCATGGCCAGTTTAGTGGAACACCCACCCTGTTCTCTGGTGTGAGTGGACTTCTGCTTCAGCCCCATCAGGGAGTTGGTCGCATCGCGTGATGGAGGAACCTGGCGTGTACCTATGCGGAGGTTTCCGCTCGGCAGCCTGCGGGCCGAATGTGGCCTGCAGTTCCATGTCATCGGCCTGCTCAGAGTCTGTGACTTTTTAAAAAAATGGAATAAGTTGCCAACAATAATGAAGTGGGAGATTTTATATAAACACTTGGATACTGGGCTTTTCTTGAGTAATTATTGGGGCTCTGGCTACCTGTGTGTTTCTGCAGGCAGAGCTGGCTCCTTTTATTATTATTATTTTTAATCCTCATCCGAGGTTATGTTCATTGATTTCAGAGAGGGGGGGGGGGAGGGAGAGAGAGAGAGAGAGAGAGAGAGAGAGAGATTGTCTTCTATACGTGCCCCAGCCAGGGACTGAACCTGCAAGCTAGGTATGTGCCCTGACCTGATCAGGACCCCACAATTTTTGGTGCACAGAATGATGCTCCAACCAGCTGAGCCCCCGGTCGGGTGGGCCAGCTCCTTTCAGATGGGGCATGGATTCCTATTTGCCACCACCCACCCCATCTCCCCGGCTGGCTTTGGTCATTTGCTGGATTTGCCCTCCGTGCTTCGAGTCTTGCTCCATGGCACTGCCTTGCTTTTGGTTTCCTGGGAAAGCTGTGCTCTGGGTGGAATCAACAGACCACTTCAGCATCCATGATCTCTGTCCCCACGTTCAGGGGCAGCTGTGGCTGGCCATCTGGTCACGATTCCTGAGGTTCCTTCCGTCCCCTGCCCACCTCCTTCCCCAGCAGTGCCAGGCTCCCCAGCTCCCAACATGCCACCCCTGGGTGCTGCAGACCACTGCCTGTGCAGACATTGCTGACCACCTGTGATCAACACAGCACGGGGGTCCAAGCACCGGGAAGACATACTTCCTGACTTTTAGTTTGAAGGATCTTAGTCATGCTGTGCAGAACAGACAAAGACACCGATGACACTGTAAAGGCCAGATATGCTGCTTTGCATGAAAGGTTTCGAAAGACAGATCCCGTGTGCTGGGAAAGGGTGGAGGATCAGGAAAGGAGGGTGAAGGAGGAAGTGCTTGAGATGAGCCTGGAAAGATGACCAGGATCTCAGGGCTGAGAATTGGTGAAGGGAGGAAAGAGGGTGCCAGGCAGACAGAGGGAATGGCGGGAGCAGAGGCCGGGCGGGGTGCAGGGTGTGAGCAGAGGGTGCATATGCAGCCGAGTGTGGCCAGTGCGCAGAGGCAGGACGGGTGGCAGGGGGAGGGGAGTGAGGTGAGAGCAAAGGTGGGAAAGATGGTGGACCCATGCCTGGGAGGGGGGCTGTGATTGCCGAGGTGGGGGCTGGGATTAGCTGAAGGCTGAGAACCTCTTCCAAGTGCAGACAAGGGTGAGGAGCACCAGGAACAGCAGGTGTTTCAGGGAAGGCCTGTGCCCAGAGGTAGGAGGGGAGGGGACACTGGGCACGCTCCCATCATGGGACGAAGGGGGAAGTAGAGCACATGGAGGAAGCAGCAGCTGTTCTGAGAAGTCGGGGTTCCCATCTGGAAGAGGCGGTGCAGGTATCCAGCCCAAACCCTCTGTTGCCCCGCAGGACACTGGGCCAGGGTGGCCGCTGGGGGACATGCATCCCGGGGGCCAAGCTGAGCCCTTGGATCTTCCTCGGTGTCTGACACGTAGCAGGCTTCCAGGAAAGGTGTGCCGAGGTGATGACAACGCCGGTCCCTCCCTAGAACTAACTTGGCAAACTTGGTAAGATGGAAGGCGAGGCCCCGCACGCCTGCTCGGCTGGTGATGCATTCCAGGGGAAGGCGGCATCCTCCCCTCCTACCTCTGCCAGGGGCCCCTGCTCTTTGAAGGGAGCCCTACACGATGCACTTATGTCCCCAGCGGGGGCTTTCAGTTCCAAAGTAGGGGCGACGCTGGCTCAGGAGTTGGGTGCAGTGAGTTGCGCGGCTCCCCCTTCCTGCCCGTCCTCCGCCCAGCCGTGCTAGGGGCATGGGCGGTGGTAACCGCGGGCTGGTGGCTTCCTGCGGCTGCGGCAGGGCTGGGCATCGGAGCTGGCACGGTCACACTCGCCGCAGCTCTCTGAGCATTGGGAACACAGGAAGGGCTGCGTTTTTAAGTTCCCTTTGTTTTCAAGGAGGGTCCGGAGCCCACGGGGAGGAGAAAAACAAAACCAGGAAAACAGATGACTTGCTTTGCAAAGACAGTGTGTGCATTGGCTGTGGCTTCTGGAAGGTCTAATGCACCCCTGTCCCTGCCCACATGTGTACATCCACACACATGTTCACCCACACGTCCACACGTGCACACCCACGCATCCACACATGCACACCCACACACCCACACACCCACATGTGTACACCCATGCATCCACACATGCACACCCATACATGCACACCTACACATCCACACACGTGCACACTCACACATCCACATGTGCACAGCCACACATCCACACGTGCACACCCACACACCCACATGTGCACACACATGCATCCACATGTGCACACCCATACACGCACACCCACACATCTACATGTGCACATCCACACATCCACACCCATGAACACCCATGCATCCACACATGCACACCCACACATCCACACACACTCACACCCTGTACTTATACCTTTCTCAAGCACACAGAGGCATAGACACACCCAGAAGCTGAGATTATGTCCACATAGACACCACCCATACCTAACAGTGGGGCATCCACACATGCAGGCGGCACATGAAACACACATTTTAGAAACGAGGAGATTCCTGAGTACAGAGACACACACCAGATATTCAGATTCATGGACACACACACAGACATGCTGGGGAGCTCTGGGATAGGCATTCTCATAGAAAGACTCACAGACTGAACACACACACGCACACACACTCATGCCCTCATTGCTGCTCCTCACCCTCGGCTCCACCTGCACAAACACAGAGTATTTTTACAAGGCACCAGGGAGCCAGCTGGCCCTGGGGAGCCTGTGGTCTTTCACGGGGACCCACAGCTCTCATCGCTGCACACCCCTCAGCTGCTGCCCACCTGCCGTGGCCCTCAACCCCTGGAGCCAGAGAGCAGGCAAGACGATGTTTCCAAGGCTCCAGGATGCTGAGGGCAACAAGTCCTTTTTCCTTTTTCCTTTTGGTGTTTGTGCTTCTAGAATGTCCCACATGTGCACACCCATGCAGTGCCCTCGTTTAATTGATAAGTTTGAATTTCTCTCTCACACAATAAACTCTTTACAATTAAGGAGCGATGCGAGGAGAGAGGCAGGGCGTGGCCGAGGAGGCCTGAGGGGCTCCCCCGGAGTTCTGTACGTTCCCAAAAGGGGCTGGATTGAGAGGCTGGCAGAGAAGATGTGGGGTGCGGCGGGGTCTGCACAATCCCTCCAGCCACAGAACGAGGAAGGAAGATGAAAAGCCGCCCAATCTCAGCTCCCGGCTGGGAGGGGCTGAGCTCTCCTGGAACTGGTGCTGTTACTGGGAGTGCTTCCTTTGGGGTGTGTCCAACTTTCCTGATGGAAACGGAAAAGTGGGGGCCTTTTCCTGGAGGAAGAGGCTCCTTTCCCCCTGAGGCGAGGCCCAGGAGAGCTGTGAACAGACGGAGGTCCAGGAAAGTGACCTCTAGGTCTCAGAGAGGCGACGAGAGAGCCCAGCTGACATCTGGGCGACATCTGTACAGGCCTTTGCAAACCCCACAGCTCTACGTCATGCAAAGAACCCTTTGCCACCCCCTTATGATATATACAAACACCGTCGTGAAAGTGTTTGTGTTGAGCAGTTGGTAATTCTGAGCTTAACTATGAGAGAGGCTGGAAAGGCAGGGCCTCCTGGGTGAGGCTCAGGCAGCAGCACAAGACCAGGATGTGGCCGAGGGAGTTGGCTCATTTCTTCTGTGAGAAGCCGACCTCGCCCTGGTGACCAGGCCCCAAACAGCTCCCCCTTCTCTCACTATCTCTCCTGTCATCCGCAGGCTTATTCGGACACTTTCTAAATGTTCTTCTTTCTCTTTTGCCAGGGTCCCACCCCGGGAGTCTGTTGCAATCATCCTTGTCCAGGTCCCGAGTGTGAGTATCTCTGAGCATGTTCTCCTTCAAAGCTCCTCCAACCAAATCTCAATGGAGCCTGGACCAGGGTGGGGAGGCCCCGGTGGGGTGGCTAAGGGCACATGTCTGCAGAGGGGCCTGGGTACTAGGGCTGGGATGAGGGCAAGGAGGGTGAGGCCCTGGCCTCAGTCACAAACATTAAGGGGGTGCCTCAAACTCAGTATTTCAAATGAATATGGCAGTGCAATATTTTTAAACATAAAAATCACATACATGTACATAAATCTATGATGAACAAAATACTGACATTTTACATAAAGGCAGGATATGACCCTGCACTTGCATGGGCCTGACTCACTTGTCCCACTGTAACCATGACCCTGACCCTAACCTAACCCTAATCCTAACCCAACCCTAACCCTAACCCTAACCCTAACCCAACCCTAATCCTAACCCTAACCCTGACCCTGACCCTGACTTTGACCCTGACCCTGACCCTAACCTAACTCTAATCCTAACCCCAACCCTAACCCAACCCTAACCCTAACCTGACCCTGACCCTGACCTAACTCCAACCCTAACCCAACCCTAACCCTAACCCTGACCCTGATCCTAACCTAACTCTAACCCTAACCCTAACCCTAACCCTAACCCTAACCCTAACCCAACCCTAACCCCACCTGAGTCCTGGCCCTTCGTGGATTTGAGTCTTGGCTTTGCCTCTTATGAGCTTGGCATGCTTATCTTTTTAAATAAGTGGACGTATAGTTTACATACAGTAAAAGATACATGTCTGAAGAGTACAGTGACATACCATTTACACAAGCATACAGCTGCGTGACCACCTCTGAGTCAAGACATTTCCAACAGAACATTCCTTCTCAGGACACCCTTTCTTGCTTAAAACCCGTCACTGGGATTTCACTGCTGGGATGAAGATCAGACCCCTTGGTCCCGGCGCCTGCCGGGGCTGCAGGTGTGTCCCCTACCTCTGCGTGGGAAGTCAGATACGGGTGTGTTTCACCCAAAACTCCAGCCTAACACACCCACTGCTGAGCCTTGCGACGCCAAACTTGACCCTGAATTCAACAGCAAGCCTAATGCCAGCCCTAACGCCAACCCACGCTGGAGGGACGTTTTAAGATGCCTTCAAAGAGCAGATGCTGTTTGACGCGTCATTTTTTGCACCTATTTTGAAATCCTCAGCTCTTTGGGCCCTTAGGCCAGCTGAGCACACCTTCTGCCCCGCTCTGCCTAAGGCTTACGGATGGACCCTGAAGTTCCTTCAGGGGCAAGGAGAAGAGAATCAACATCCACCTGAAGTTAAATAACTCACAGATCCTGAGAGCAGCGGGCCCTGGCTTCCAGGGACGGGCAGTCGTAGGGGCGCTGCAGCTTTCCTGAGAGCTCAGTAGTCATTATGCTCCTTTTTAAAAAATCATGTGTTTATGTTTTTCAGAGAGAGGGAGAGAGAGAGAGAGACATCAATGATGAGAGAGAATCATCGACCGGCTGCCTCCTGCACGCCCCCCACTGGGGATCGAGCCCGCAGCCCAGGCATGTGCTCTGCCGGGGAATTGAACTGTGACCTCTTGATTCGTGGGTTGACACTCACCCACTGAGCCACACCGGCCAGGCAATTATACTTCTTTTTTTTAAAATATATATTTTATTGATTTTTTACAGAGAGGAAGGGAGAGGGACAGAGAGCTAGAAACATCAATGAGAGAGAAACATCGATCAGCTGCCTCCTGCACACCCCCTACTGGGGATGTGCCCGCAACCAAGGCACATGCCCTTGACCGGAATCCAACCTGGGACCCTTCAGTCCACAGGCCGACGCTCTATCCACTGAGCCAAACCCGTTAGGGCCAATTATACTTCTTATGAAACAACTCCTATGTGCCAGGCATTCAAGGGCTTTATATTCATGATCTCATTTGATCTTCCCACCCAGGCGAGCAGGTGGGCACTGCGAAGATTTCCGTTTTATAGATGAAGACACGGGGGCCCAGAAGGAACAACCGACTTGCCCAAGGCCATCCAGCCACAGTGGTGATGGAGGATGTGAACCAGGGCGAGTCGGGCTCCAGCATCTCCACTCCAAAGCCTGTTTTGCCCAAGCCAGAGCCCTTTTAATGTCACCAAAGGCAGGAAATGAACAGTCTATGGGGTGAGGAATTTGCTTTTGGCTCTTACGTTGACTTCCTACAAAAACAAGTCAGATAGCGAAGGGCCAGGAGCTCGGTGACCGCTCCTGTTGGTTCACCCGGCGCCAGAGAGACGCTGCGTATTGGCAGATGGGGTCTGCCCCGGGCAGATAAAGGTGTTACAGCAACTCTTGGACCAGCGGCTTGGTTGCATAACGCAGGGGTGTTGGCATATGTGGGTGAGCGTGCTGCTCCCATATCGCCAGGCACACGGCGGCGCCCTGGCTGCTCCAGCGCTGATTGCTGGGACGTGGCAGGAGGAGAGGGTGCTTTATCTCTCTGATAGTGGAGAAGGCAACCGGCAGCTTGAGTAGGGGGCTCTGCTCCCGCTGGTCCGTGCGCCCGGCGGAGGCGGGCACTGGCCTGGAGTGGGGGCACTGGCCTGGCATTTGGAACCCCAGATCTGACATTTTGTAACTGTGTGACCTCGGGCCACTGACGCCCTCTTTCAGGGCCTCTGGGTCTCTTCCGTAATGAGACTGTTTGTGAGTGTGCAGTTTTGGTAAGTTCTAAATTCGTGGGAACTGGCATTAACAGTGTGATCTTGAGAAAGACACCCGCCCTTTGGGGCCCTGGGTTATTGTCTTTTAAATCTGGGAACTATTGGGATGGCCAGATGATCTCTGAGGTTCCTTCCTGCTCTGAGAGCTCATGGCTGTGAATCTGTAAGCCCTGTGCTCGGGGTTTGGGCAGGAAGGTCCCGGCTGGGGCAGAAGCCCGCTAGGCATTCAACAGCTAGAGGGCAAACAACCTCCTTAACCTTCTCCTTCCTACTTATTTCTCAGCTTGGCTCAGGGGTTGACTCTACAACGGGTAGAGAAATGAACCCCAGAGCCTGGGCAATCCCTGCTTCATGGTGTTTTCCTAATCTCATTTTTCGTTTAGGTAATGCACACAGGGTTCGCAACGCCCAGGGACTGCCATGACGTCTTCGGCACTCCCATCATGGGGCAGTCGTGGAGAGTCACACAAAGCCTGTCATTTGGCCAGCACTTGACAGTTGGTATACAGTGGTCAAGGGCGTTGGCTGTGAAACCGTCAAGTTCTATCCTAGCTCATTCCCATAGAGGTGCAAGATTTTAGGCAAATTACTTTCACTTTGTACCTCAGTCTTCTCATCTGTCAAACGGGAGAAATAATAGTACTTTGCCCCATAGGGCTGTTGGCCAGGATGAATTGGTTGGACATCATGTAAAGCAATAGGGGTTCCACTAGGGGGCCTCAGGGCCAGTGTTGGGGTGGGGGAGGGCTCCAGCCCCCAGCCCCTCACAGGCTCCACAAATACACTTCTACTTGTCTGAGCCCATGGATTCAGCTTTGATTTAGAGAACAGAGTCAGAAGATGTGCTATGGATGAGCATTGGGCTTCACACCAAGAGGCCCTGGTGTGCCCTGCAGCTCATAGCTGGGTGCACCTGGCGTGGGCCCACCTCTCTGTCTACTGGCAGCAATGTGGGGTGATCTTGCCGGCCTCTCTGAGTGCTGCAAGGATTGAACGTGGCTCCATGGCATCACCCGATATGAGAACAGCCTAAATAAGTTCTGCACAAATGTCAATAAGTGGTAATTAAATTACAGACAGTCAGGCAGGGCTGGCCTCCTGCTGGCTCTCTGTCTCAGGAGAGGGGCTTGCTGCAGACCACAGGCTCTGACGCTGGTGTAGTTCCGGGTGCCTCGGAGCAGGCTAAGGGGTGTGTATTCTGGATCCCCTCCTAGAGAGTCTGATTTAGAGGGTCTGTAGGCCCAGGAACTGCATATTACACAGGTGCCCTGAACTCAGCCATTCCGCCCCTTATTATCTGCCCAAAAGCAATGAAAACATATGACCATACCAAAAGTTGTCCTTGAGTATTTATAGCAGCATTATTCATATTAGCCAAAAGGTGCAAATAGCTTAATGCCCATGAACTGATGCACGCATAAACAAAATGTGGCATATTCACACAAAGGAATATTATTCAACCCTAAAAAGGAGGAGGAAGAGGAGGAAGAGAAAGAAGAGGAAGAGTAGAAAGAAGAGAGGGAGGAGCAGGAAGAGAGGGAGGAGGAAGAAGAGGGGAAGAGGAGTAAGAGGAGGAGGAGTAAGAGTAGGAGGAAGAAGAGGAGGAGGAGGGAGGAGGAGGAGGAGGAAGAGAAGGAGGAGAAGGAAGAGGGGGAGGAGGAGGAGGAGGAAGGCCTGTCACCAGTCCCAGGAGCTATAACTGAGAATAAAGGTCTCCTCCTGGGGGCCAGGTGGCAGCTGTCCTGTCAGGGGAGCATCGGGGCCTGGGGGTGCCTCCTCAGCAGGCTCTGGCTCCATCAATGGCTCCCACATGAGTCCTTTGCAGCCGAAACTAGCAGGGGGCTCGCCGGGCCTGCAGAGGCACCTCACGCTCACGGACACATGCACAGGAAGCAGGAACCGCTGGGCAGATTATTTTTGTTTTCCCCTCACCGCCACCGCCTGGGCATTCAGTGACATTCCTTTCCCTCCTAAACAAACACTGGGCCTGGAGCTGCCAGGAAGTGAAGAAATCGCCTTTGGAATAGCTCAGTGGCCTCTCCCACCTCTGGCCCTCCCTCCCCCCAGGACTGGGGAGGCCGCCTGGGCCTCCCAATGTGTAAGTCTTGAGGACTTTCTCCTCTTTTTCTGGCTGTTCCCAGAAATCGGGGAGAAGCTGGGTCCGGTGTCTGCAGCTACTGAGCCTCTGTACCCCGAGTCTCCATCATCCCCAACCCCGGCTCCAATCCTGAGAGTCACTTCAGATGTCCTGGAGTCAGGTGGCCAGGTGGCCAGTGGCCGAGATGGTGAGAGGTTGAGCAGCTCTGGGCAGGTCTCTGAGGGGTGAGGGTGAGGGTGGGGGACGGATGGGGGCGTGGAGACAGGTGTTTTGACAGTGACATTCTTTCCTTCAGATAATTTTCTTACAAAACTACGAAGGGAAGTCCCAGGGGCCCAGCATCCTTCCTAAAACCGAAGAACAGTGAAGGGAGTGCTTAAGGGCCCAGGAGAGGCAGGGAAGTACCTCCTTATACCTTGAACTTGGCTGCTCTGTTTGCCCTAAAACTAACATGGGCTTTCATGTGTGTGAGGCTGGGTGAGGTTGCTGACAATTTCAACTGGTCATTTTTTTCAACCTGGTTTGCCCCCTCTCTCTCGAGGCTCTCCTTCACGGGAGCCCCTGGACTGTTCTGGGGCTGCTGCTGCCTCAGGACAGGGAGGTGACCGGAGAGAGCAAAGAGAAGAGAAGAGGAAACACCTCCTGGCTTTTGAGCTTTAAAAGCCGAGTCCTTAAGAAAATCAAAGACTCTGGGCCTGGCAGGCCAATAGGTCCGGGAGGAATAGGGTGAGTGAGAGCAAGGGCTCACCTCTGAGATGAGGCAAGGACTTCCGGGGAGAGGGGAGATGAGGAGGGAAAACCTTAGCAGTGGATGTTTTCTGGGGGAAGAGAGATGGGGAACTGAACCCTGATTCTGGAGCATGAGGCCAGGGGTGGGTGGCAAACCCCAAGGAGGGTGGGGACCCTGAGGTGCAGAGCGGACTTGTGCACTGTTTCCTGGCAGAACTCTATCGCTGGGGAGGCGGCCAGGATCCAGGGAGGAAATGGCTGATGAACTGTCTGGGTAGATGGAGCCGCCAACAGGGCTTTCTGCCCTAACGAGGTCTGAGAACAGCAGAGAGAGAGAGAGAGAGTCCTGGGCAACCAGGAGGGACCCAGACCCAGCGGGTAAACTGAAAGGGACCCCAGGGATGGAATGAATTGAATTCAACCTGTGTGGACTGTTAACTGGGGACCACAGGGCCATGGGCATCTCTGTGGATGCCAGGTGGATGCTGCCATTGACAGTGACTGTTCCCTTCCGACACCTCGGGACTAACGGAAGCCCCCAAACTTTGGCACAGCCTTAGGAGAAGGGGAGGGAACCCCAACTTGGCTGGGTTTTGCCCACACTGGTGCTTGAAATAGAAAATCAGTTGAACCCTACAAAAAATCCAGTTCTGTTTCTTGTATCTGAGTCCTCCTGGGACGGTGGTGGACTGAGACGCCTACACACATGCTTGCTTGGTGTTGGCAGTTTTAATGAAGGCTGACGTCTGAGTTTTAAACATTTCTTGAGCACGTCTCCGCACTAGATCTTTCTGGGAAAGTAGATGAATAAAGACAGAGCAGAATGTCTTATAAGAGGTGCTCCAGGGGGGTTGCAAATGCAGCGTCACAGAAGCAGAAAGACCTTGAGAAGGTCTCCCCGTGCCCTTGAAACTCTGCGTGAGGCTTGCTCGGGTCTGAGGGCAGGGCTGCCTTTGTGAGCAGAGTCTGAGAAGCAAAGAGATGGTGGGGAGAATGGGGCCTCTCCCTTCGTGGCTCCATTTCTTAGGAGGCGTGCTAAGGGTGGACATTTCAGGCAGAGCACTTGCTGTCAGACAGTAAGAAGTCATCAGGATGAAAGACAAGGGCTGACTCCCCTGAGGCCCCCACCTTGCATGGCTGGGGACCTTGGCCTTGAATCAGATCTGGTCTGCATATCCCTGCAACTGTCAGAGGCTTGGGCTGGGCTGGCCACTTGTTTTGCCTGTTTAGGTTTCCTCTCTCCCACTTATTCTCTACGTCACGAGAAAACTGGCCATTGCCCTTGGAAGACGCCATCAAAAACGCCCCTCCTCAAGCCAAAGACTAAATCCAAGGGGCTCCACAGGGGAGGGACTGAAGGACCTCCAAGAAGGTCAGTTGGTGGTCTCTTCCTCTAAGGCTGCAGGCATACGAGGCTGGGCTGGAGTTCCTGGTGGCCCCTGCTCTGATTCTGGGGGATGCTTGGATATGGCATCAAGTTGACCGAAGCACATGGTGAGAGGGTTATTCCATTTTCAAGTAATTTCTGAGCCTCCAGATCCCATTAAGGAGACTCTGAGCTTGGGGAGTGTCAACACATCCCAACATCTGGATCAAATGCTGAGGTGCTATCCAGCAGTTCCGGGCCATTTATACATGAGCATGAGTGTTCCATTCTCTCCTGACAGGGAGTTTCAATGACTAGGATGTGAAGCCAAGAGGACCCTGGATGCGGAGGAGAGCTGGAAATTAGGGGACATACCGTGGGACCACTTATTGTAGCAGATGGCATCATTCCCAATTCTTCACCCCTCTCTGTATCAGGATCTTATGCCAGGTGACTTTGTAGTTTTTTTTCACTAGAGGATGAGCATACTTCTCCTGTCCTTAAATTCTGGACTTAGGTCATGTGACTTGCTTTGGCCAGCAAGATGCTAGCGGACATGGTACAGACAGTGACTTAAAATGTGTTCATACTCTTGGATGTGCCCCTCTTGTCCTGTACTTGCCATGCTGAGAACATGCCCCGAGGGCTTGCTGGTCTATTTACGTGGAGCCAAGCCCAGGTAGGCCCAGCCGATTCCCAGCAAGATTAATGGTTATTTTTTTTAAAACATATTTTTATTGATTTCAGAGAAGAAAGGAGAGGGAGAGAGAGATAGGAACATCAACGATGAGAGAGAATCACTAATTGGCTGCCTCCTACCCACAGTGGGGATCGAGCCCGTAACCTGGGCTTATGCCCTGGCTGGGTATCGAACCAAGGCCTCCTGGTTCATAGATCGCTGCTTAACCACTGAGCCACACCGGCTGAGCTAATGGTTATTTTAAGCCACTGAGTTTTGGGGTGATTTGTTACGCACCATAATTGTGGCAATAAATGTTGACGACCCTACTGCATTCGACACAGGCACTCTCACTGAGGCTGTTTACTTGGATTGTCAAACACCCCCTTTTACTAACGAGGGAACTGAGGCTTCAAGAAAGCCCTTGGTCCCCAGTCAAACAGAAAGAATGAGCAGAGTGTGGAGGCAGTGCTGTTCTGTCTGATTCCCATGACATCATGGAAGAACAGGGTGGTGGGAGGTGGAACATGGTGTGCCTGGTTTCACAGCTGGACTTGAGGCTGGTCCCATCCGTAGTCATCCCTGAGCCTGCTCTGGCCAACACCATCCATCTAGGCTTGTGACATCACGGGATGACTCAGGCAGGAGGTAGCAGGACAGGGAAGCCCTGGTGCAGGGCGGTCAGTGCTAAAACCCCAGTCTAAATAGGGACAGGGCGGTAACATTAGTAGACAGGGCTGGGCTGCAGAACCGGGTGGTTTGGGTCAGATAATGACTTGAAATTTATTTTGGAAAATATTTTCCCAAGTGTCTCACTGAGCCCCGTGGGAATGGGACATGAATGGGAAAGCCAAGAGGGAAGTGAACGAGGCTGAAAGGGACGCACGACTTAGCAGGGCCTGATTTCACACAATTCAGGGCATCGGATGTTCCTGGGGGCAAACTCTTCCTCATCCTTTGGAATTCTCCCCATCCCCCTGCCCTGTGACTGTCTCAGACTCCATCCCAAAGCCCTCCATCCCTCAGGGATCACAGCAGCCAACACTTACTAGTATTGAGCACCTACTATGGGCCAGACACTGTTCTAAACACTTTCCACCTTGAGTTTCCCTCTCCTTCCTCACAACCCAGTGTGGACGATGTTCCTATTGCCCCCCATTTCACAAATGAAAGAGGGAATGAAGGGCACAGAGTAGGGAAGGGCAGGGCCCAGGCCCACACAGCTGTTACGAGGGAGAGCTGGGATTCCAACTCCAGAGACTCTTGTCTCAATCACTACGCTGAGTGTTTATTACCACATATTGCTACACTGATTTTATTTCATTATGACAACTGTTTCCAGAGTGCTCCTTATGGAGGGAGGTTTCTGTGGGGGAAATACTTTGGAAAGTGGTTGGGATAGAAGGTGAGCCTCCTCAGGGCCTGGGTTGGCGGGAGCCTCGGCCTCCTGGTGGCAGGCACTGCCCTGCGTGGGAAGATGAGATCAGATTGGAGAACAGGGAGGGGGTTCGAGGAGTGGAGGCGGGAGGTGACGGAGGAGGTGGGCAAGTCCACTGAGCACACCGCCCAGGGTGGGGGGGACCGTTGTCTGTGGTGGGAGCAGGAGAAGCAGCCGAGCTTTTTTTATTTTCTTTGAATTTATGTCCAATCTCAAAATATTTATTAAATTTGTAGCAATTGTGCATTTGGGCTTCAGGGAACGGTAATATTCTTTAAGACATTTATTTTTATTTTTTTCCAATTACAGTTGACATTCAATATTATTTTGTATTAGTTTCAGGCGAACAGTGTAGTGGTTCGATAATCATATACTTGACAAAGTGTTTCCCCTGCTATTTCCAGTGCCCAGCTGGCACCGTACGTAGTTATTACAATATTATTGACTCCATTCCCTAGGCTGTACTTTACACCCCCGTGACTATTCTGTAACTACCAATTTGTACTTTCCAATCCCTTCACCTTTTTCACCCAGCCCCCCAATCTCCTCCCCTCTGGCAACCATCAGTCTGTTCTCTGTATCTTTTTCAAAAAAATTTGATTTCAGAGAAGAAGGGAGAGGGAGAGAGAATCATTGATCGGCTACCTCCTGCGTGTCCCCTATGGGGGATTGAGTCTGCACCCCGGGCATGTGCCCTGACCCTCTGGTTCATAGGTCAATGCTCAACCACTGAGCCACACTGGCCGGGCTGTTCTATCTTGAGTTAAGAAGCAGCTGGACTTGATGCTAGTGTGGCTGTGTTGGGGGACAATGGCCACGGGGAATCTAGTACCCCAAAGGCTGCAGGTTCTGGAGATGATGAGGGCACCACAGATGAGCAGAAATTCTGAGGAAGGCCGAGGAATTTTCCTTGAATCCCGAGGGTTCAGGAAGTGTTCAGCTGACATCTGGGTACGGCTGTTATCACCAACGGCATGAACATTCCTGTCCTCTCCCTAGAACACCCACTCCTGGAAGGCGGGCTGGCGCTGCTCATTCATCCTGGCTCCCAGGACCAGCTCCGTGCTTGGCGCTCAGTGGGCCTGCGGCACATGCGCCCTCGAGTGAATGAGTGAAAAGGCTGTGAACCCCAGATCACCGGTGCCTGCTCAGATGTATGCCATCTCAGCCATTCTTCATATCTCATCACAAGAAGGTGCTGTGGACATCTCCGTTTTTTAGCATCTGCTTCCCATGTTCCTTTCCTGCTCCATGCTCCCCTGACTGCTGCAGACCCACACCCACCTCCGCCTCCTGGCTCACTCCTTACACTGGACTGTGAGCACAGTGTTCTCTGGGCGCCGCCTTCTCCTCCAACCTTGGGCTGACATCCGAGCAGTGGTCCTTACCTGGGGAGGACTTTCCCCTTCGGTGGACACTGGGCAGTGTCCAGACAGGTATTTGTCACAACTGGGGAGATGGCTACTGGTACCTTGGGGGTTGAGACCAGGGATGCTTTTACTCCTACAATGCACAGAAGAGTCCCCCTGACTTGGTCATCTGCCAGAACAAAACACCAAATCAGTGGTTCTCAACCTTCTGGCCCTTTAAATACAGTTCCTCATGCTGTGACCCAACCATAAAATTATTTTCGTTGCTTCTTCATAACTGTAATGTTGCTACTGTTATGAGTCGTAATGTAAATATCTGATATGCAGGGTCATATGAAAGGGTCATTCGACCGCCAAAGGGGTTGCGACCCACAGGTTGAGAACTGCTGACCTAGACTGAGTGGCGGAAGCAACAGACATTTATTTCTCACAGTTCTGGAGTCTGGTGGGCCCCAAACAAAACTCGGTCAGATTCGGTTCACAGGAAGGCCTTCTTCCTCGGTGTACCTACCTTCTCTCTGTGTGCTCCTGTGGCTTCGTAGATGTGTGAGTGCGGAGAGAGAGAGGAAAAGCCTATCTCTCTTTCTCTTCTTACAAGGCCACTAATCCTAATCTAAACCCAGTGGCCTCCCAAAGCCCCCACTTCCCAAGAACATCATGTTGGATGTTAGGGCTTCAACATAAGGCTTTTGGGGAGACCCACCATTCAGTCCGTAACACCCCCAAAGCTAAGAGTTCTCTGGTCTGAACTACTGCTGGCGCCGAGGCTGAGAGACTGCATTAGTGTGTGGTTAAGAGCATGCTGACCGCGATGTGAGAGAACTGGCTGCAGATCAGGGTCTGCCACTTTAAGACAGAGGCAAAGATTGTCTCTATTGTCAGGGTCTTCAAGAGGATCACACTGGGTCTGACCAACAACTGGCTGCTGCCCCGTGCTCCCGTCTCCAGGCAACACACTCACTCAACACAGATCGCGTGACCAGACCCCCCTCGGCCCCGGCACACCCTCAGGGGGTTCAGGCGTCTCAGGTCCCCGCTGTTGCTCCTTCAGAGGCCAACCCTGGGGACGCCGGTGCCTTGTCCCGCAAACCATGACCTGCCTCAGCTCAGTGATGGCGAACCTCAGTGTGTCAGAGGTGACACGCGAACTCATTTTTTTGGTTGATTTTTCTGTTAAATGGCATTTAAATATATAAAATAAATATCAAAAATGTAAGTCTTTGTTTTACTATGGTTGCAAATATCAAAAAATTTCTATATGTGACACGGCACCAGAGTTAAGTTAGGGTTTTTCAAAATGCTGACACACCGAGCTCAAAAGGTTCGCCATCACTGCCTCAGCCCTTCCGCGTACCCGAGTCTGGGATGTGAGCACCTCTGCGGGAAACAACGAATTGCTTTGCTTTGTCTTACATCCTGGGGAGTTAGTTTGGGGGCAAAACCTAACTGTGGATGCAAATGATCACCTGCAACAAGGCAAATGAGATTTATAGAAAAATCAGGTTTTACCAAAGGAAACACTTTTTGGGTGGGGCTGGGGGACAGCCGGAACTTGCTGTTCTAGGAGCGGAAGCTCAGGCCCACAGAATTGATGCTGTAAAATTTTATAAGGCATTGATGGGATATGAGCAGGAAGTGACACCAGAGACCACCTTGTCAGCCCCCCTCGTTTTACATGGAGAAACTAAGGCCCAGAAGAGAAGAGAAACTTCCCCAGGGTCATACTCTCGTTACTGAAGGAGGCGAGACCAGTCCCGAGGGCTCCTGACGCCCTGTCCAGGCTGGTTCTACCCTAAGGTGCTACCTTTTGCTAAAGGGAGTCCTCTGGTCAGGTTAGAGGTCAAAGAATAGACAATCCCTCCCTCTGAGTTTTAAGTTCAACCTCCACACTAACCGAGAATTTAATTTTCAGAATCGTCTCCTGCAATAGAGCTTTACTGGCGTTTGTTTTCCTTCTTTTGGCCTGGAGGCTATATTGAGGCAATTCCCTCTGTGGGTGCCTCGCTCTGTAGTAAACACATGTCTGCCATATACACACAGGCACACACATTTGTCATTCCTTCCCAGAATGACTTAATGATTTCCATGTAACCAATATGCCGCAGCTGTTGGCTTCCTTCAGGCGGAAGCACTCAAAACCATCGGTTATCAAGTTGCCTCCACCACTGTGTTTTCCCAGCCGGATACACCCCCTCTTCCTTTTTATTTTTTTTTAAAAAAAGGTAACTCCTGGCCAGTGTGGCTCAGCTGGTTGGAGTGTCATCCTGTCCACCAGAAGGTGCAGGTTTGATTCCAGGTCAAGGCACATACCCAGGTTTGGGTTTACCAGGTTGCGGGTTTGATCCCTGGTTGGGGCGAGTAGAGGAGGCCAATGATCAATGTTTCTCATATCACTGTTTTTTTTTTTTCTCTCTCTCTCCTTTGTATTTCTCACTCTCTCTCTCTCTCTCTCTCTCTCTCTCTCTCTCTCTCTCTCTCTCTCTCTCTCTCTCCCCCCCCCCCTCTCTCTAAAATCAATAGGAAAAGAAAGGTAAGAGAACAAGTTAAGAAAAAAACATTGTGAGCCTCTATCCAATCCAATCCAGAGTTGGTGTTGCCGGCAGGGGCTCTGCAGGGACCAGGCTGGTCCTGCATCTCTGCAGGCGCTTCCAATAGGAGACCATCAGTTTGCTCACACATGGCACACAGCTTCCCATCCGGAGACACCAGGACACACAGGAGCCGAGAGGCCGGAGGTTGGGAGGGGGACGTGCTTTGGAGAAGACAACGTGTTGAGGGAATGAAGGGATGCACGTTCTGGATCTGCTATGTACTAGCTTTGTGACCCTGAGAAAACAGCTCAACATCTCTGAGCCTCGAATTTGAAATCTGGGAATAGAATCTGTGCTCACGGGTGACTGAGGTTAGAATGCTTGCTCAACAAAGGCTTCCTTCTCCCTCCGTTTCCTTCCCCACCCCGTGGTCTCTGGCCCACAGAATGTAAGAGGTAGGTATGTTCGGTGACCTAGTGACACGGACCCTTCTGCACCTGGCCTTGATGGTCACTTCTTTCAGAGACTGCCTACCTGGGCCAGGTGCAGAAGACCTTTCAGTCCTGGCTTTAATGCCAAGTCCTGGGACCCACACTGGGGACTCTGGTGCCCAGGGTGTCTCCTGCTAGGCTCATGCCTGAAGGAGAAGACTGATCACAGCAACCAGAAAGTCAGCCAGGAGAGGCCTGGACCTGCCAGCTCCTATTGTCTCTTTCCTATCCTCCACCCGCCCTCTGTCCAGACTAGCTTTTGTCTGTTAAGCACTCAATAGGTGCTCAATCATGGTAGGTGCTTGGTACATGTTAACGGCTGAAACCAGGATCATATTTTTGGGAACAATAATCTGAACTGTCCTCTCATGTGCATTTCCTCCAGGATGGGGAGTGTGACAGCGGCTCACATTTCCCCAGCACTCATCCCGGGCCAACCATTGGATCTACGTCGTGCAATCCAGTCTTCTCAGCAGCCTACGAAGTGGCTTCTGTTAGCTCCCCATTTTACAGATGAGCAAACTGAGACTTCCTTAGTCCAGAGTCAAAAGCAAGCACGTGGGAGTTACAGGGGATCGATATTCAACTTTTAATATTGAGAGAAGGAATTTTTGAGTCTGTAGGAGGACGACTGACATATGGGGAGTGGACACACAGCTTCTGTTAAGGGAGAGAGTGGAAATCTTTTCCACTTTTGGGCTGAACCAGGAGACTGAATGCCCAGGGAGGAAGTCTAGGGTGTAGGAAAGTCCAGGTCAGAAAGAATGAAGACTAGAGTTGGCCCCAGTCTCCACCTGGGGGGATGGTGGGAGGGAGACAGAGAGGAAGAAAAGCAGAGGGAGATGAGAAGCCGGTGACATCACCTGTGAGCTGAGTGCCAGCTTAGGGGCCCTGTTGAGAAAGCTAGTGAGGAACATGGGGGTGGGCAGGGGGCTTCTGCCCCATTTTTGTTTGAGTTTCTGGGACGAGACCCCTCGCAGGGGCCCTCCCATGTTCTGTGTCAGTCCAGGCCAGAGAGAGCCTGAGTGTGCCCTCTGAGCACCCTCCATTCTCCTGTGCCATGGGACAGAACCAGGGCTTCCATCTGTACTTAAGGGGGGTTTAGAAGTTAGTGGAGACTCCAGGGGAAGGGGGCCTCTTGCCGAGGGAGGTTGCTGCCACCGGGGCCAAGTGACCCTTCAGCCAGGAGCCTCTCATATTCAGGCTGCCCAGGCTGGACACCGGTCTCGCCCAGGTAAGAGCCCAGGCAGATCTCAGGGGAGTAGGCAGCACCAGTGAGAGCCTACTGGGGCTTGGTCAGAGAGGGCAGCAGGCCACGTTTCGGGGGCCTTGCCTGTGCTCAGAGGACAGATGCCCAGGACAGGATCAGGCTGAGCAAGGCTCAACACGTGCCAGGCAGACATGGCCAAGTTCAGACCCACATCCCCTCCATGGGGACCAGCCAAGGACACTGTGAAGTCAGGAGCCCTCCATCCACTCTCCCTTGCCACCTTCAATGCTCCAAAGACATAGGTGGCATCTATATACCCAGATGCCATCTTGGGCAGGAGAAGGGGGGAGGGTGGACATTGGAAAGACCAGGCATTTATCTATACGACCAAGTCATCTCCAAGGGAGCACCTCCCCAGCTCTCTGGGGAGTTACACCTGGACAGGCTCAGTCCCTGGACTGGAAGAAGATGTAAACCACCGGAGGCCGAGATCTCATGAACTGACAAGTGTAAGTTTCTCCACCATCTGTGCGGCGAGGATGCTTAACGAAATTCTAGAAAATAAAGAACTGACATTTCCTTTGCACATCTGAGTGGAAATATAAGTCTGTCACCCTGATACATAATGGCTGTAACAGGTGCACAATAAATCCTCGTGGATGAGTGGAGGCAAGCACGGATATGCGAGAGGATGCAGGACGGGTTGCAAGACTTAGCTCCTCCTGAAGACTCCGTTATAGTTTCCTCAGGGTCTCAGGAGCAAACTAGCCAAATACACGCAACCAGAACACAAGCGATTGGTATTAGAAAATAACACACACTAGAGTGTTAGCTGATACATAACGTTAGACAGGAGACTAATCGTGACATCAAATAAAGATTAAGCTGCAGATGCAGTAATAGGTAGGCACTATGTTGGGGGCAGTTTCTGATAACTCCCTCTTATGGCATCTAGTTCTTAAGTTCATCACTAAATGTTAGAGCCCACTGATAGTCTGCTGTGAACCCAAGCAACATGGCCCAGTGGGTCTCCTCA